AGCTCAAGAAGTCGCAAACAATGTCATCAGCTTGGGTCTTGAGCCATGTGTGCAGTGAGAGTCCAGCATAGGCCCGCTCTTCAGCCTCTTCTCCGTTGCTGGCGCCTGCCAGCCTTGCCCCTCTTCTTCAGAGCCCTCTGAGGGCTTCCATGGTGTTACCAGGTGGTGGGGTAATTCATGTAGAAATCGAGAACTGGCTAAGTGCAGCTCCTTTGCTATTAGCAGCCCCTGAGCCTTTGCGTACCAGTGGCTGTCAACTCTTACAGTGTGAGAGATCCACTTTGCCACCTGGATTAGCAGCTGGTGGCAAGCCTCGGGCACTCTTCTGGCATTGGAAATGGCAGCTCCCAGCTTTCCATTGCTCTCTATCCATCTCTGCAGCTTGCCGCCCTCACAGTTACCTGCAGTGGCTTTGGTGCTAGCAGTGACCTTTGGTGTTAGCGTACCAGGGCAGCCCACTCTGCTTGAGATAGAAATCAGGAAGAGGCAAAAACATGTCACCTGGAAGAGGCTTTGTTAGGGTTTGTGATGTGGCATGAGGGGAACAGTGCATGAGTTGAACCTGCTGTGGGCTTGGGGAGGCTGCTGATGTAGGAAGAAAGGTGAGCTTGTGCATGCAGTGTCAGACCTTCTGTTTGTTGTGGTAGGGGAGGGGCTCCTCACATATGCAACTGAGGAGCGACGAGAGGGTTGGTGAAGTCACCTGGGAGAGGCCTGGGTCTGGAGCCTGCTGTGCCTGGTGCAGTCAGGCTGGCTCTGAGGCTTCTGGGGCAGCCACAGAAGAGTAAAAACCTCCTGGGAGTGTCGGGCTTTTCTTTCCTGTCTCAATTGGCTTAACCTCAGTAGTGACCAGGAAAGGGCAACCTGGAGCCACAAACAGACCCTTCCTACCCTAAGATCATTACCAGCCAGGCCTGTCTGCCACAGGGTGCCAGCCACTGTGGTGATGGGTTTGGCCAAAGAGAGAGTTTATTCCCAAGGTGGCTGGGTGAGAGGAAATGAGATACTCAAGTCTCAGATCCACCTCCCTGTGGTGGGTTAGGCTTCTGACCAAGTCCTGGGAGGTGGGTCTGACCACTGAGTTACACTGCCCTTGGAACTGGTTAGGAGGATGTGATACAGCTGAAGGCAGACTATGGAGGAATCACACACTGGAAGCATATCTGATCCTGAATAGTGATGATAACGTAGGAGAAGCCAAAGGGGACCTTGGGGACAGGTGTCCGTAGAGGGCTGGGCTCCATCACTCATGGGGAGATGTTTATAGAGCCCATTTTCCCTGTTTCGTACATTTCCAAGATGGTCATCATACTTCCGGCTTGCCTGGCTGCTCAGCCTGGCCGCTCAGCCTGGCCTTCCCTGCAACACTGGTGCTGACCAGCTTCTGCCACACTGCGCTCCTTGGAGTGACAGCCCTACCGGGTACCACGTCCTCCTCCAGCGAGGGTATGTCACTCTGCGGGGGCAGATGCTCTTGGTCCCCACACCCGTGCCGTCCGCTTTGTACAAAAGCCAGGCCCCACAAGTCATGGACAGACACAGGTAGCATGTGCCTAAGAAGAGGCTGGGGACAAGAGGGTTGGGAACAGCAACTATACCAAATACAACAAAACCAAAAGGAGGGAGAGAGAGAGAGAGAGAGAGAGAGACAGAGAGAGAGAGAGAGAGAGAGAGAGAGAGAGAGAGAGAGAGAGAGAGAGAGAAATCCAACTACTTCCATAGCACCACAGTAGGTTTGTATAGGGAAATCTTTGTGTTCTTTTAAAATTTACACAATGAGGAAGAAATTTATTGAATAAGTAGCCCAATTTCCTAGAAAAAAGTGTTCATCTTTCCCAGAGAAAGATGCAATTAGCTGTAGTCATGGGGTGTTCTCTGCCATCAGGGTGCCCTCTGCTCCCTGGGGACAGTAGGCTTCACACAGGAAGGAGCCCTTCTGATGGGGGCCCCTCTGCCCGTCCTCCCGCGGTGCCTGGCGTAGGCCGTGTGCCCAGGACAGCCCACCAGGTCCACAGATGCAGGTGTGCAGGGTCCAGTGTGACACCTGCTGAGCCCCCGATGACTGCTCCCACCTCACCCCAGGACACTGAGGGCACAGACTGAGTGCTTTGACGTGGGCCGTCCTCACACCAAGGAGTATGTTTAGGATTTCAATCCAGAGGCCTTCAGTCCCCAGAATCCAAACCTTCCCTGTACCTTCCTGTCCCTGGAAACACATCTGTCGGCTGTCACAGATGGAATGGTCCACACAGGGTCTGAGCAGGTCCTGGGAGGCCAAGAGGCCCACTCTGGGGAGGATTCAAGCATGTGACAGCCCTGTGACAGGGGACCTTCAGGGTGCTTCCCGTGCCTGACCAATATGTGGGAGCAGCTCTACCCCAGCAGGCACTGCAGGCCAGCACTGGCCGTGGGGTAGCCACAAGAGTGCCCAGAGCCCGGCAAGTGTGTCCTCTGGGGGCCACCCCAATGCCCCTGTCCCTGGCCCAGGACCCAGATGAGCGGACGTATCTGCTGACATGAGTGCACCCGTGTGTGCTGGCGTGCACACATGTGTGAACGTACCTTCAGAGGCCCCTCTGGAGATAGGCAGGACCGGAAGCTGACGTGTGGCCCTTCTCCGGGACTAGTGCCCGGCCCAGCTTAGGTGCAGGTCTTAGACAGAGGAAAAGCTCGTGTCTGACAGCAAAGCCAAGGTCAAGAGGCGTCAGAGGTCCCAGGAGAGGTCACAGGACCTTTGCTTTCTCGGTCAAATTCCACGGGTGGGCACGGATGCGTGTGAATCATTGAAACTTTGAACAACCCCTGGGAATGCATGCCATACAACGGGCCACTCTTGCTCCTGCCATTGGGAACCAGAAAGGTCCAGAGTCAGCGGAGGAGCAGCTGCTGAACAAGGACTCAGAGAACATGAGAATGCAGAGCAAGCCCACGGAGTCAGAGGTCCTGTGGACTGAGGTCCTCAGAGCCGCTCGGAAGCTGTAAACCAGGAGGACCTTGCACAATACTTGCAGAGACTCATTGGAAGCCATTCTTCCCCTGACAGTACAGGCTGTGGTGGAGCTCCAGAGAAGTCTGCAGCAGGATTCCTTCTGCCTGTGCTGACAGTTGGGGAGAGGACACTAACTGGTTGTGGGGTCCCAAAGCAATGGGAAGCTGGAGAGAAAAAGCTACAAAGAATGGCTTTCACCCCAGATAGCTCACTTGAGATGTTACTAAGAATTGCCTCCTCAGTATTCTATAGCCATGATGAGGAGGAGGCCAAGGAGAGAAAACAAAGAGACCCAGAAAAAGCAGCTGCTTTTGCTGCACCACTAAGAGAAACAGATCCCAGGTCTGATTCCCGGGGCTCCAAGAAGAACTCGACAACTGCATTCATCTGCTACCACTGTTAAAAGCCAGGCCACCTCAAGAGGAACTGCCCTAAGAGGCCCCATGGGCCATGCCCTGGATGCAAAGGAGACCACTGGAGATCGGTCTGCCCTCTGAGGTGGAGGCCCCAGAGATCAGACCCATGCTACCAGTTAGTCCAACAGGAATGAGAGGGCTTGGGGCATGGTCTGCCTTCTCCCTCTGGCCAGACCGTCATCTCCATCGAGGAGTCCTGGGTAATCATGACTATGGAGGAACAAGAAAACAGCCTGTTGCTAGACACAGGTGCAAGTCTCTCGGTCCTTCTTTTCAATCCTGGCCTTCCTTCCAGCCATCATACCTCAGTGAAAGGAGTCACTGGTGAGGAGATAATATGCTATTTTTGACAACCCTTAGGCTGTAACTCCTTAATAGGTCCCTCTTGCATATCTCTGCCTTCCTGAGAAACCACTCTGAAGATACCACCACGTATTACAGCAGCCATTGATATTTTCCTACTAATCTATCCATAACTGTGTAAAGTTTGTAATGTTCCTATCCTATTTCATAAATGGATGTATGTTTATTATTATGTGTTTCCTACAACAACCATTGAGAATAGTTAATGATTTTTCAATAGGTCACTCATGTATAGCTCTATTTATTTTCTTTAGAAGCCACTTTGAAGATACCGAAGTATAGCACAACAACTCTTGATAATCTCCTACCTCTTTTGTCTCTAACTCACTATTATTTGTCTATTTGTTTTCCTGAGAAACTATTTTGTAGACAATAATATGTAAAATGATAACCACTGATAATTTCCTACCATTTTGTCTGTAATTTGCTAAGTCCCCCCTATTATTATGTTATCCTTCTTTTATTCTTTAAAATAAAAAATTTAAAAAAAAAAAAAAAAAATTCCATGGGTGGGGAAGCACTTTCTCAGAGGAGCTGTTCTCTGCAAATCCCACTGCCGCACCACTCTGCCATCCCCTTGGGGGAGACACATGAAAACAAGGGGTCTCCGAGGCCACTGTCACACAGGGCTGCTCCTGCAGGACCACGTCTCGCTCCCCTGGGGAGCAGGGTGAGTACAAAGGCACGCCTGGCACGTGTGCCTGTGTGTGCAGGAGTATGTGCGTGTGTAAATGCGCGTGTTGACTGAGCCTAGGCCCCCAGTGCCACCCTGGAGGGAAGTAGCCCCGAGCAGGGAGCAGCCTCTCATCTGGGGTCCTTCCCGAGTTAGGGTGTGACTCTGCACGCAGCTTATTTCCCGAGACAAACAAGAACCCCGAATACCCTTTGTTTGAACTAAGTTTTTGTTCTGTCTTCTAATAAAGCAGATAGGGGAATTCCTTGGTTTTCTCAATAAAATTTGCTTTGTAAAAAGTTTTGGGCCTACACATGCCTGCTTTGAATGAAAGCTTGGCTTTGGACACGGGTCACTCAGCACAATTTCTGTGCCAGCCGAGTTTCCACGCTTTTGGACAGGTCTCCTTCTAGGCTCCTTCCAGAAGGCACCAGGTGCAGGACTGGGAGCCTGGGCAGCTGGTTGAGGCCTCCGAAAGGTCAGGGCCTGAGAGGTGGCCGCGATTATTCCGCCGGGAAAAGTCCACACAGACCAGAAATAAAACAAAAGGAGGCCAAGAGTCACTTTCTCTTATATTGTGGACATTTCATTCCTCTCTTTCACAGTAGCATTTTTAACAAACAAATGTGATGCCTGGGGCATCTTACCCAGAAAATACCACCAAGCACACACACTCCCCCACGGCCAGGTCGGAGAGAGCTCTGCACAGTCGCCGACATGGCCGCTCCTCGGGACACCGGCCTGCAAGGTCCCCCCCAGCTCCCAGCAAAGCGCCTCCCTCTCCACTCTATAAAGCTTGTGAGTAGCAAAACTTGTAAAAATGAAGTGTACAAAAGGAAGCAGCTCTATAATACATTGCACCCTGTATACAACGTGTCCTTCAAAAACTGGCCAACAGTCAGGCATGGTGATTTCTCAGTAATAGAAAAAGAACCTAACGTCTGTCATGGGCGGCGCTGGGAGTAATGGCGTGGTCTTCCAGAGAGATGGTCATGTACAGTTACAGTACGCGCCGGCAAGCTTGACGATTAAGAAGCCAGTCAAGTCTCCTGGCCTTGAGGCAAGTAACATTTGATTGTCACAACTACAATTCTGAGACAATAAATACAAGTCGATTGGAGGCATTTCTTCACGGGTCAAGTAACTCCAGTTTAATTTAATACAATTTAGTGCATTTCAGTGTCTCATTCACAGTTCAACTTCTGTCCAGTACTTTTGCAACAGAAAGTTAGGAAACTGAAAAGTTAGAAACGAAAGCTTCAGGTGACCTCATTAGTGCAAAGATCAGTTCTGCCCCAACCCAGCCATCTGGGCAGATGCTGCCGTGTTGCCTGGGTGGACCGGGGCTGGCGCCCACACGACTTCTGGGCTCCAGAACAGTCTGAGAATGCTACATGACAAGCAGCACACGCTTGACATAAAGTTAACTCACGGGTGCGCCCAGCCAGTCAGGCAGATCACAGTGCGACACTGTACCCCACGTCGTCCCTGTGTTTTTGAATCCTGGCCCCAGCATGAGAGAATCAGGAGCCCAAGGCTCAGCACCTGCTCTGACAGCCCACAGCAGGGTCCTGGGACAAAGCCAGAGCCCAGCTCCGTGGGTCACGCCCTCCCGTGTGCCCAGGACCAGGATGCTACGGGCAGGTTGCCTTTGGTTTGGGGCGGCCACCAGAGAAAGGCCGGGACATGCTCTTTCTAGGAGAAAGGCAGGCATTTCTGGCTCAAGGGTTTGCCCTGAGCCCAGCTACACTGCAGAGGGACCAGAGGCTGCGCTGCCCTGCTGGGCACTGCGTGTCGCGTGCCAGGGCTCGCATGCGGCTTGCTGGGGCAGGAGACAGGCAGCGTGAGTGTATACACGGGGCCGGGCAGGTGAATGGAAGTCGGCAGGCAGGGGAGGTTATACTGGGCCTGTCCTGCATCCCGGACAGACACAGAGCCACATGCAGACAGCCACTTGTTCCTTGCCCCAAACCCGAGACGGGTCATCGGATGCTCGTGGACGCCCCGTGACCGTGCGTGGTCTGTTGTGGGTGCGACCTGAGGCTGGATCACCGCTGCATCTTGGTCTCTGCAGGTCGGCACCAGCGCTCAGGGACAACTTGGCCAGCTAAAAGGAGGGGGCGCACTCATGTCATGGGGCACAGCCGGGGAGTGGGGGAGATCAGGATCACACCTGCGTTACTTTTTACAAATAAGTGCTGCTCACGTTGCTGTCCTGTATTCTTTTGTGGGTTATACACACAGAGCTCAGCTCTTCGATCGGACTCTGTGTCCGAGGCAGGGACTTTTGTGCCTCTCAGGAGGGCTGCGTTGTGCTGTCACCACGTGCCGGACAGCAGGGCTGTTTTTTGTCTCTGGGTTAAAGGCCTTCTCGGTATGTAGCCATTTCAGACTCTCCTTGGGCCTTACTTTAGAGAAAGTCCCTGGAGTAGGAAATGCCTTTCTGTGACCACTTGGTTCCTTCCCAGCTTCCTGCCGGCCACCTCAAGGAGCCCCGAGACAGAAGCACAGGTCCCCAGCAGCCGGGAGCTCCGCGAAGGCACTGGGGAATGCAGGCTTTTGGGAGGCCTTGGAACTTTGCGGGGGAGGGGCACACAGAACCGCGCCCCTCCCCCAGCTCACACAGGGCGGTCCGAGTCTGTGCGAGTGGACCAGGAGGGCCACAGCCAGGACAATGTGGGAAGACCGTGGAGACAGCGGACAAGCCCTCAGGGAGGGCGGGACCCCAAGGCACCTGACTCGGGCCTGTGCCAGAAGACACAGGAGGCATGCATGGGCTGCTGGTGGCCCAAGAGACCACGTTCCAGGTAGGGCACCCAAGGGCAGGACCTGGGGTCCTGGGAGCCTCCCATGAGCCCCAGGGCCAGCCCACAGCTCTGCCCAGGCCTCGGCCCCCAGGCCTGGACTGCGCTACCCCTCGGTGGCCAGCATGGGTGTCTGAGAGTGCCGAGATGCCTTGGCGCCAACACTGCCTGAATCCAACAGGACGCCAGCAAGCACGAGGTTCGGGACCAGGGTAAAGGAAAAGAGTGAGCACTATTCTGACATACGTGAATTTAATTTTAAGATCAAAGGAGCGCTCCTCCCCCTTTCTTCAGAAGCAGGTGAAAGCAAAAAAAAAAAACATTCACAGCATGGTTTTTATTGCTCTCGGAGGGCTTGGTGTCGCGGTGCTAGCAGAGCTGGGCCAGAATAAGGGATCTCGGGGTGAAGCCTGCGCCCTGATCTTCAGCCCAGTGCTGATCCCTCCCATGTCGGCCGGGGAGGGGGCTCTGGGGAAGCCATAGCTGGGAAACGCACAGCGCGGAAGCCCGGGTGCAGTGCTGGGCCCGAACGTGCAGGGTGGCCCTGCAGCGCCGCAAGCACCCAGGGTCAGTGACTCAGCGACGACCCGAGCCAGAGCACACGGAAGAGAAGGAACCGCGCGACGTGGGAGGAAAAGGAAGGGGGCGCTGGGGGGCCACGCCGAGAGGGCGGCGAGGTCGAAGTGCGCTCCTGGGTGAAGCTGTCGCCCTCATGAGGCACAGCACGCGGCCACTGCTCCTGTGAAGAGCACAAAGGCCCCGCTGCTCCCCGCTCCAGACCCCGGCTGCCTCCCTGGTCCCCCACGCACCCAGGGCTGACGCAGAGTCGGCTGTTCCCTCCTCTCTAATATTCCTGCCTCTGTCTCTGGGTTTTCCCTAAGAGACTCAATCCGTCTACCTCCGGAATGCTGGTTCCACTGCCAGAGAACACCCAGCTCTCCCCCTTGCTCAAGAAGGTGACGGGAGCGTGACGGTCAGGGAGGCTGCGGGAAGTTCCGGACGGATGCCCAGAGCGGGAGGCCAGCGACGTGATGCCCGAGTCAGCCGAGGCGGGAGAGACCTGCCCACCACTCCAGGTGGCCCGGCAGCCACCATCTGCCAGGCCGGACTCATGGTGCCGGAAGAAACATCTACCGGGTGGGACGGGCTTCGCGGAAGACACTGAGTGCAGACGGAGACACCCTGTCCTCCGCAGGGCCGTCCCGGAGGTGGGTGGTGGCCTCAGGGCCGCAGGACACCTGCCCGCACAAGGGCAGCCTCCCTGAGGTCACATCGTGCCCCACAGAGGGGAGCGAAGGGGGCCTCTGCTTCCAGTTCCCCTCAGGAAGTGGCGAGCCATCCTCAGACCAACGAGTAAGAACTCTCCAGGCGCCCACAGGCTGGAGATGGACCGTCTCCGACTGACGCTGTCAACCCAAGGGACTTGATGGTGCCACTACTTCTCCAAAAGCATCCTGCAGGTCCTGCCGGCCACGGCCCCTGGCCCCTGTGCCCGGCCCCAGCCCGACAGCCACGCAGAGGGGGACAGGCCTTGGGAGCGGGAGGACCTCGGGGCGCACTGCGCTTGCCACAGTCCACTCACTTTAAGAAGAGATGCGAGGTGTGTGCACGCAGCTAACAGGCAGCAGGGCTGCAGGGCGGGAAACGGTGCTCGGCTCTGCCAGCCCCACGGCGAGGGGACGGGCGGGCGGGCCGCGCTCTGAACGCGTGCGGCTTACATTCAGCGTGTGCTTATCGCTCAGGACTTCTCCGGCCCCGCCCTGGGGCCTGGAAGCGAGGTGCCAAGCAGGGGGACAGCAGCTCTCCGGGGGGCTGGGACCCACTGACCACCCCGGGGACAGCGGAGGACTCACGAGGAGCCAGTGTGGAGGGGCGCAGGGGAAGAGCTGAGGGGCCACGTTAAGTTCCTGAAATACCGATAAAAACAGAAACCTCCATCTAAGTTTAAGAAGAGAAAGCAGCCAAAGGCCCCCCTTGGAAGCGGAGCTCTGGAGAGACGGTGACCCCTGGCGAGGAGCCAGCTGTGGCGCCCAGCTCGGACGCCCACCCTCCGGGCCTTCTGTCTGCGGCGGGCAGGCGCGGAGACCCTGCCTGCTGGGAGCCGGGCGCCGTCTTCACCTGGCAGGCCTTGTCAGTTCTTTGCTCTTGGCTCAAGTTTTATTGGTTAATATTAGTCACCAGTTAATAAGAAAAATAGTTTCTAAGTGTCTCTTGCTCCTTGCTCTGTGTGTGTTGTTCTGTTTTTAATTGAGTTAATTGGATACCACGTCAGGTTATGTGCGTTCAATCACAGCCATCGGTTATTCCTTTTTCTTAAGTTCCTGGTTTCCGTAGCTGGACCCTTTTTCTATTTCTGTCACTCCTATCAGTCTGCGGACTCCGAAGGACGCTTTAAAGACAGGAGAGAGAGAAGCGTTAGACCCACTCGCCAGGCGCGAGGGTCTCCCGCCCTCCCTCCGCCCCAGCCCTTCCTCCAGGGTCAGCAGGTCAATCCCACGGGGTCCTCAGGTGGCAGACGGAAGCGGGGCCACTTCTCCGCCAGCTGGGTAGGCTCAGGGACACGTGGCATCCCCTGCCAACCTATCTCCTGTGCACGGGGGCGTCAGAGTGGTGACAGGGCTGCCGAGATGGACGAGCAGATGCGCTGCCCCTTGTGGCCATTGGCCCTGGTCACCTCTGTGACCTCGCACACACTCCTGCAGGTGCAAGCCTGTTGGGGGTGGGGGCTGGGAATCAGCCGAGGGGCAACATGGTAGACAGAGCGTCCGTCCCAGATGCCCCCACCGGTGGGGACCATCTGCAGCGAGCAGCACACACGTGGTGGGTGCCGTCGGTGCTGCCCGGTGACTGCGTGGGCTCAGGAGGGGCCTGGCCTGGTGCTCAGGGCCGGGCACACACAGAGGACAGCACTAGGGCAGGGACCCGATCCTCTGCGGGCCCAAACACGACAGAGTGCCCAGGACCCTGTCCCCAGCACCCTCCCAGGGCTGGCAGCCACATGCAGGCAGGCGCCATGGCCCTTGATGACCCTGTGGTCAGGACAACAGCCCCTGGCCCCCGCCCACCAGCCACTGCCACGTGGTTCTGGCCACCAGGGCCCCCAGCTGTGAGCTACAGCTGCCGTGCCCCTTACCTGCACCCACAAACCCCAGGAATGTGAGGATCAGGAGAGGGGACCCACTGGCGAAGACACCCAGCACAAAGCTGAAGAGGGGCGAGAGGAGCAAGGTGGCCCAGCATAGGAAGTTCAGCAGTGTCCACGGCCTCCGGGCGGGCTTGATCTGCTCTCCCGGGAAGACGCCCTTCTGCTCGTACATCTCCTGCAGCGCGTCCTGTGGCCGGGGAAGCAGAAAGGCGTGGTCTCTGCACGTGTCACCTTCAGGCAGGAGACACTGTCAACCCCCAAATGGGGGTGATGCGAAGCTTGGGCCCGCAGGGCCTGGTGGGTACAGTCACCCCACCGTCACACCCCGCCATTCTGTCAGGCTCAACAACTCTGCACTGCAACCAGCAGGGCACCGCAGGGTTGGCCTTCTACCCGCGGCTCTGGCCGGGAACTTCCCCGGGGCAAGAGGACACTCAGTCCAGAGAGCCTGGCCAGGGGAGACCTGCAGGTATCATGTGGCAGCTCCCACCAGGGTCACACATGGTGAGCAGTGAGATGTGAACGAGGAGATGCGTGCGTGACAGCTGTAGGCTGGACGCAGAGGACAAAGTGGCACGCAGACCCACGGATACTTTGAAACACGTCTGACTGCGCGTGTGTGTTCAGAAAGGCAGTGTGTTGCTCGTGACGGCCTGTGGAGTGGGAAGCTGTGGGGTGTTATTTTTCCTACTTTATTTTCTGCATTTAATTTTCCACACTTGGGTTCTTAGTGCATAACGTGGGGGCGGGGGCTTGCTGCTGGATGTCACAGGGGCCTTGGCAGACAGGGGTGGCTGCCGTAAGTGTCATACCGACCCAACTCTTGTTAGTGGTGGGGAATAACCTAGGAGCTCACAGGAAATGAGCAACCCGGTGGCTGCCACGGCGGGTGGGGACCACACAGGGCCAAAGGTATGAGTCAAACTTGTGCCCCTGTGCATACACCTTGGAGACAACTGTGACTAAAAACGGGAGGATGCCACGTGCAAGGTGACGTCCTCAGTGCAACTTTAAAAAAGAGGATTTGCAAAGCAAGCAAAGAGGCATTATTATAGATGTCTACGCTGTAGGAAAACACAGGGCATGGTGTAAAACCACCCACACCAGCCGGTTCTGTCAAACCTGGCGCTCGCTGCACTCGCCTCTGCTCACTCTGCTCAGCAGGATGTTGCTGTCCCCGCACAGGAATGGACCCATCAACGGCACAGGTGCACCACCGCACACACGCGGACAGCGTGCGACGCTCAGATCAGGAACCGGGCGTGCCCACTGCCTTCCACGCCTGTCGTTTCTTTTTGTTGGTAACATTCAAAGCCCTCATGACTAGCTATCTTGAAATGTGCAGTTGAATGTGGTCCACCAGCCGCCAGCCCTAACCCCAATGTGCTTCGGAACGTGAGACGTTGGTGTTTCTCTGCCCCCACGCCTCTGCATCTGCTCCCCTCCCTGCCCTCTGCTGGGAGCCGCTGTTCTCTGCCTGTACGACACGGACTTCCGTTTGCTTACGCACGAGAGCGAGGACAGGGAGTGTTCATCTTTCGTGCCTGATTTATTTCACTTAACAACGTGTCCTCCCATTCCATCGAGGTTGCTCCAAATGACGGTTTCATTTCCTTAACGGCTAAACAGACCGTTGCGGATGCCGTGCTGCACTTACTCAGCCATTGGGGCGCACCAAGCGCGACTCCGACCTGGCTGCTGTGACTGGGGCTGCAGTCAACGTGGGGGCACAGCCGTCTCTTCCACATGCCGTGTCTCCTGTGGATGAATGTCCAGCGAAGGACAGCTGGGTCAGACGCCAGGTCATTTCCGGGTGTGTGTGCGTGTGCACGTGCACCGGGCTCCACACCCAGGGCCTCACCGTGCTAAGCACCGCCCTGCCAGCTCAGTGGCAAAGCCGGCGCTGTTTACCGGCTCTCGAGAAGCCCACGTGGTTTTCCATGACTATCTAATCTGCACCGCACAGCAGTGTGGGGGCCCCCGTTCCTCTGCACTCTCACCGGCGTTTTTTTGTCTTCTTTTTGTTGTTGTTTTTTGGCCTGTCTTCCTGACAACAGCCATTCTAACAGAGATGACACTGGGGTTTGGTTTGCATCTCTCCCATGGTTAGTTATATGGAGCATTTTTTCATATACTCATTGGCCATTTGCACATCTTGATTTGAAAAATGTCTGTTCACGTCATGTGCCCATTTCTAAACTGCACTGCTTGTGCAGCTGAGTTGTTGGAGCTCCTTGTCGCTCTGGATGTTAACCACATGGCACATGAATACTTTGCAAATACTTTCTCCCACCCCGTGGTTGTCGCTTTACTGTGTGGGTTGTTTCCTTTGCTGTGCAGAAGATTTTAAATTTGACCTGATATCATTTGCCGATTTTTGCTTCTGTTTCCTGTGCTTTCATGGTCAGATCTCAAAATCGTTGCCCACACCAACATCTTCAAGTTTTCCTGCAGCAATTTCATCATTTCAGGGCTTACATCTAGGCCTTTGGGCTCTTTACTTGACTGTGTGTAGGACAAGGTCCGGTTTTACTTTCCTGTGCCCATATACCCTGTTCTGCCAGCATCATCCTGACAGGCTCTCTTCTCTCCAGTGCTTATTCTTGGTACTTTTGTTACCCACTAGTTGGCTGAAAATATGTGCATTTATTCCTGGATTCTCTCTTGTCTCCTTGGTCTGTGTGTCAGTTTTATTCCAGCACCATGCTGTTTTAGTTATGATGGCTTTGTAGAGTGTTCTGAAGTCAGTATTGATGCTGTGATACTCACATCTCTGTTCTTGGTCAGGATTGTTCTGGGGGTTTGGGGTCTTTTGTGGGCCCATATGCATTTTAAGTCTTTCAGTCTACCAGCACGGGATGTCTTCGCTTTGTGTGTGTATGTGTTCAACTTTTTTCATCAACATTCTGTAGTTTTCACTGTGGATGTTTTCACCCTCTTGCTTAAGGCTACTCCTAGGCTGGTCTTTGACTCTTTTTGTTATGTAGCATTGTAAGCAGGATTGTTTGCTTGATTTCCTGTTCACTGTTGCTGTGGAAACACTACTAGCTTTTGTACAGGATCTCATATCCTGCAAGTGAATTTGCCTGATCTTCTCACAGCTTGGGGGCAGAGTTTTTAGGTTTTCTATGCATGAGATGATGTTTGCAAACGGGCAGTGTGACTTCCTGCTAGTTCGGCAGTCCTCTGCCCGCTTCTCCTGCCCGATGGCTCCAGCTAAGCCTCCGGTGCTGTGCTGAGCAAGGCAGAGAAGCGGCGTCCTTTCTTTCTGCAGACCTTAGGGGATGCCTTCACTGTCCCCACTCAGACGATGTCGAGCTGTGTCACAGATGGCTCTAACAAGTCGCTTCCATGCCAGCTTCATTGCAGGGAGACACACCAGGAGCTCACATAGTTTATCCAGGTTTCCGAGTACATGGAATCAGTCATGTGAGCCCTATATTATATTGTTTTCCTACTAATGACATCACTATTTAAAATTAACCCGCCTTGCCCAAGGTTTCCTATTCTACTATTCTCAGAGAAAATGCTTTCAGTGCAGCTGGTTTTCTTTTCTGTAGCTTTAGGTTCTGTTCAAACAACTTCCACCACTGGGTGGACATGAGCCATGTACCTGTAGGCCCAGCCACTTGGGGCTGAGCTGGGGCATCGGGGGAGCCCAGGGGTCCATCAGGCAGCACAGCAAGGCTGCACTGGGCTTGCTGTGTTGTGCATGCGTGTGTGCATACTGTAGGGGTGTGTGTGTGTGCGTGCAAGTGTGTGGCTGCTAACAGGATAAATCACATCTACAGCTGTAAGGGAGAAGTGATGACGGATGGATCTGCGTAGGCACTGTGTGTGCACCACACTGCTCCAGGCCACTCCGGGGGTAGCTGTCCCTCCCTTCCTCCTTCCTGTCCTCATCTTGTTTTCTCCTTTCCTGTGTCCTCACCTCACCTACCGTCCCTGTCCCCTGTCCTCCAGGTCACTCTTGGAGGCCTGATCTTCCCACTCACACGCTGCTTCCCCCACCAGCCTCGAAGGGCTTAGGGCCCCAAATGTCCTGCACGTCATGGGGTGCTCGTCCTGGCCCAGCCTCCTCCATGCAGGCCTTCAGCTGAGCACCGGTGTCATGGTTTCCCTCCCAGTCCCCTGCTCGTGTCCATGCTGAGGCCAGCACAGGCGAGAACTCCGAGCCCTCCAGGGCAGGTGGCAGCTGAGTCACAGGGCAGACGCCCTGCAGCCCAGGAGACGGCTCAGCCTTCCGAGGGTCACTCAGCAGGAGGGTCCGGCTCCGTGTGGGCTTCTGCATCCACCTTCCTATCTTCTGTTTCTAGGGAGGCATTAGAACCCTGCCTTGACTTTACGGGAAGCAGCCAGGAAGCGGCCACCAGGCCGTCACCCCGTCTGGGCTCCAGCTCCTTGTCTGGTTCCCGGAGGTTGCCCTCTTCTCTCTCGAGCTCGCTGGGGCCTCTGAAAGGTCCTCTGTTATCTGCAGCAAGGACTTTCTGGTTATCTGGTGCTGAAAGCAGAAGCCCACGTTACACAGCTGTGCGTGTAAAATAGTCTGGAGCAGACGGAGCGTGGGGAGCAGGCTGTGGCTCCGTGAGAATGTCCAGCACTTTCTACGTCAGACCCACAGCGCCTGCATCTGCCCCGTGTCTAGGCGATGTCTGCCACACACCTATCACTTCTTGTCTACAACCAAGACACAAACCTGACCCTGTCATCAGCGTCGATGCATGTGCATGATCTCCCCCAGTGTTAACTTCTCTAACACTAAGAACAAGGAGAGAAGAAGGAGGGGGATCAGAAGTGCGTGGGGCCCTCGCGGTGCTGTGTCAGTCCAGGAGGCCCACGCGCTGCCTCCCCAAACCTGCCCAGGGGACGGGGCATGGGACGCAGCACCGTTACCTTCTCCTGGTACAGCTTGTGCAGCCACTGCGCCGCCCCTTGCTCGTCCTGCGGGATCTCCTCCAGAGGGAACCTCCTGCGGCACAGAGGACCGGGACCCAGGTGAGTCTGCGCGGCTCGAGGGTGACGGGCGGGTGTGCTCTGCTCTGGCCCCACTCTGCTTTTAAGGCAGGCAGGCAGCACGGCGATTCCTCCTCAGCGCCCCCTCCCTGACACCGGAGCCCGGCGGGCACTGCCCAGGCCCCCAAGGGAGGCCTGGGAGACGCCCTGCAGCAGGCCACACAGGAGCTGTGTCACAGGAGGACAGCCTCCCTCAACCACCCAGGCCTTGGAAGTGATCACGACTGCGCAAGTCCTCCAAAACCTACTTGCTGCAAATGGGAAAAAGATGGAAGTGGAGACACCCTGAGCCACAGTCTGTGGTGTTGCCGAGGGAGAGCCGTGGGCTCCCAGGCCTCACGCCCAGATGTGGCTTCTGCCCACTACATAGTGCCCCTCTTCTGGTGTGCTCGGAACCCACACGTCCCTCCCGCCACTAGCTGTCGCCCTGAGGCTGAGCAAGGGACTTGGTGGCTCTGGCTGGGCTCTGCACCGCCTCTGCCATGGCTGTGCAGTCATGGCCACGTTACGGCAGCCCTGGGCCGCCGCGGAGACAGCGCAGCTGCCCAGAGAGCCGTCTGCTTATAGCGGACTTTAGTGAGGGACAAAGGAGTCCGAAGCAAAAATCAGCCAGTGAGAAGCTGCCTTTCCACGGGCAGCGGCAGTGCCCAGGATAGCCAGGAGGGGGCACGAGTGCACGGGAGCTGGGGTCCCCTGGCAGCACCATCGCTCTCTGCTTTCCCTGCTGCCCTTGGGTCCCTGCTCTCTTGGTCGGGTTGCAAGGCTCAGGCCTGCTCCATTGCTGCCCCTTCATGGGTGTGGTGAGTCGCACATATGCACATGCCACATGAACACCACCCAGACATGCACATGTGGTACAGCCGCACATTACATGCATACAACTGGACCACACCAACACACCCACCCACATCACATACACCTCATGTATACCACACACACACGCTGCACACCAGACACATCACACGTGTGCCACACACCACACACAAACACCACGTGTGTGTGCCACACATACACATGTACACAGGTCTAATGCATATGCAGTATGTAAAAAGCAAAAATTAAAAAGGACCAGATAAGTGAATACACACGGGAGTTCCACTGGCTGTGCCCTCACTGGCTGGCTCTGAACATCTGCCTCTTGGGGTGTCATGGTCTTATGCAGACGCCCCCAAAGCCTCACAAACTCAGAGGCGGACTCTGGGAGGGGACTGGGCCTTGGGGCTCGGAGCTGGCTAGCTGTCAGGAGGTGGGGTCTGGTCGGAAGAGGCCTCGCTGTGGGCGTGGCCTGAAGGGGGCGCCCCCCTCCCCGCTCCTCCCTTCTCTCCTGCTTCCCGTTCGCCATGGTGTGAGCTGCTCTCCTCTGCCAGGCCCCTCTGCCAGGCCCCTCTCCACGCTGTCCTGCCGTGAAGCCAGCTGGCCATGGACTGAACCCTCTACCAACGGTGAGCCCAAGTAACCCTCCCCTTGGAGTTATGGGTGTTGCTGGGTATTGTGTCTCAGTGAGTAGAAACGTGGCTAAAACGCGGGGTCACTGGGCCCGCTCAGGCACCGGTCAGATGTCTGCACTGCGTCCCAGCTCTGAAGATGAGCAGGCGCAGCCCTGGCGGGGTGGGTAGCCCTCGGTGCTGCGGCAGGCAAGCCATTTGGAGGCCCCCGGCCCAGGGGGCCCTGGCTCCGTGCTCTGGGGACAGCAGCGGGGGAGCAGCGCTCACCTTACACACATGTCTGCCTCGTACTTCTTCCCGTAGAGGATTCCCAGCAGAGACGGGTTCTTGTTTCCTCTGAAATTCAGGGTCACATCGTACACAGCTGCCACTACGGGGAGAGCGCGACGGGTGAGCAGCCTCTTCAGCAGGCCCCCTCCGCCCCAGCCCTTGCCGGGCAGCTGCGGCATGCGCTTCCTGCGCGTCCTGTGTCTGCTGACGTGTGCGTGCAAGTCCACTGTCCCCTGTTCCCCACTTGTCCTCGGCGTGCTCCCCCTTTCTCTGGGCTCCTTTCAGGTTAATTACATGTATCTGTTATCACATTTTCCTTTATAAAGTTTTCCAGTGTATGCTTTAAAAACTGGTACAGTAAAAGACACTGCCAGGAGCCCTCCTCTTGCTTCAGACACTCCTATGCTGTGGTCCTGGCCGCTTCCTGCAGCAGCTCTGCAGTCCTCTTTCCTGAGTGTCTTTACGAAGATGATAAAAAACATGGTGCCTGCTGCCGCCCGGTGTCACCCAGTGGAAAAGCAGCTCCTAAAAACAGGATGCTGGGTCCTCATCCGCCTGATTCACCAGGTCTGGCCCCGTGCGACTTCCGGCTCCTCCCCAAAGTCAAAATGACCACGAAAGGGAAGTGTTCTCAGGACACTGAGGCAGCCAGGACAGCACAGCCACAGACTCTCAGGAAAGAGGACTCCAGAGCTGCTGCAGGACGCGGCCAGGTCGATGGGATGAGTGTGAAGTTGCGGGGGATGCTGAGGCAAGTTCATGGCAGTGAGACTTTTACTCCAATACATTTAAAAAATTTAAGCATTCACTGTATCCTTCAGTCACCCCTTGTGTATCTTTTATTCCATGATTGTTTCTCACTACTTAGTGCCTTAAAAACTGTCCCAAGTACCTTCCACTGTGGTCATCCCACTCCCCTGCTCTCCCTCGGTGCTTTGGTGACCTAATCTTACACACTGTTGACACGGATGTTTTAAGGGCTTACGGTTCTCTCCCTCTCTCTCTCTCTCTTTCTCTCTCTCTCTCTCTTTTTTTTTGAAGTAGGGTGTTGGTATGTAGTACAGGCTGGCCTTGAACTTGCTTATGTAGCCCAGGTTGGGCTTGGAACTCACAGCAAATTTCCTGCCTCAGCCTCCTGAGTACTGGGATTATAGGTGTGTACCCACCACACCTGGTGCAGTTTTAGTTCTTGCGGCAAGCGGGAGCCTGGGAGATGGCAGTGGCCCGTGGCCCCTACCTGTTCCCTGCAGGCACTGGACTGCAGTGGTGAAGCCCTTGGTCCGCGGCAGCAGGTGGTACTTCAGGGGCGGCAGTCCCTTGGAGGCGGCCACCTCCATGCTGACGCGGTGCTTGGTCTCTGTGAAGCGCGTCCCTTCACAGTACAAGAGAAACTGGGGGGACACAGGGATATAGGGTCACCCCAGGGCCCACGGGCCAGAGCCAAAGCCCCAGTGGGACAGCTCAAGTGCTGCCTGGAGCCACAGCAAACTCAGACTCAGAGCCACGCAGGGATGCGGCGCGGGGTGGGATCTTCAGTGTTGTTTTATTTTAGGGCTGAAATCTGCATCAGGCACGCAAACCTACCCCCAGGACTGCTCTCTGGAAAGAACTCCCTGGAAAGAGGGGAGAATGGCAGTGTCTCGGCTGCAGCCTGTGGCCGCAGAGGGGCAGCAGAGCGAGCCTGTCTGGGCCCCATGCCCTGGGCATTGGAAACCTGAGCTAGACAGAGGTTCTCAAGAGCTGGTCAGACATGTGAGGTCACTAGCAGTGGCCCGGGAAGCTCCCACCCCCGCTCTCCCTCACCCCCAGGACTCGGCTGGTCAAAGCCAGGCTGCTGGCGGTGGGGCAACAGCGTCCAAGGAAGCTCGCGTCTGCAGGTCAGAGCCAGCTCAAGACCGAGTGACGCCCTCTCCACCTGCCTGTGACACACTCACCCACATGTACTCGGGGTAGTCGGCCAGGCGCTTCAGCCCCTCGATGACGGTGTCGCGGTCCTCCTCCCACTTCCGCTTGCAGAACACGATCTCCAGGAAGTACCACGTCCAGCCGATGAGGGGCACGTACAGCAGCTCCTTCTTGGCCAGGACTTTGGAGCTCTGGGGGCGGGAGGAGAGTGGTGCCCTTCAGAGGTGGAGGGAGCGCAGTGGCCCGGCGGGGCCACGGAGCGCCTGGGGGATGGAGGGGAGCACCCTGAGCCCTGCAGAGCAGCCGCCCACCACCCAGCCCGAGGATGTGGGCTCGGACATCTCCAAGGAAGGAGCCCAGATCCTGGGCTCGCTGCAGCTCTCACCCCCAGCACGCCGAAGCGCTCGCACATGGTCCACCCGCACAGGAAGTCAATCTCGAAGTTGTGGTTAAGGATGACGACCACGTGCTCCTTCCCGAAGTGGTCCACGGTGGCCTGGTCGGTGAAGAGCGTGCACTCCGTGCAGGACCACCACTCCAGCAGCATCACCAACTCTGCGGGCAGGGGGAGGGGTGTTGGTGCGGTGCTACCTACCATCCGGCCCCCAGGCGCTGGTGTGTGCTGGGGACGCCGCCAGGACAGGGACAGGGACAGGGACAGGGTTCTCTGCTAGCAGTGCGTTTCTAGGGCTTATCACTAATAAACTTCTGGGCCATTCTTGGTGCAGGCCAGAAGGGGCAGGGGCCCTCGCTACTCCTGAGGTGACTGCTGGCCCTCAGGCGCTGTGCCCAAGGGCAGGCCGCTCAGCTACCAACAGCTGTGTGAGCAGGGAGTGGGCTCCTGCGACCTGGGATCAACTGCTAGAAAAGCTGGGAGGAGTCGCATCCTGGGAGCACGGGGAGGCTTGCTCTCACGCCTCCTTGGGTGTTATGCTCTGGGGCAACAAAAGTTCTGCAAATTTAAAACCAACGAGCCAGGTGAGCCCTGCTTAGCCCCAGGCTGGCCTGCTGGAGGGACGTCCACACTGCCCACTGCTGGTACAGGCACAGGGCCCCGTGTGCCAAGCAGCCCGCACCCTGCAGCCTGCCCTTCCAGTTGGTGCTGGCATCTGCTCCGTGGCCCCTGGGCTCCAGCCCGAGGGCTGCAGGTGCTGGCACATGGGCGGCCACCTGCGCCGAGAGCTCCGTGTCCATCACTGTCCTGCTGGAGCCCACAGGCCTGTGCCTGCTTCAGGACAGACGGGACACGGAACTGCCTGTCCCGGGCATGAGGCTGCGCGGCCTCTTCATGAGGAGCTCTGGTCTGAGGGGCCCATGGCAAGAGGTGGCACATCTCTGTCCGGCAAGGAGCCAGGTGTACGCGAGTCCCTTTCAGGGGAGCTGGTGCTGGTGTGCAGTCCGCACGGGGCAGGGGCCGTGCACACCGGCCAGCACCTGCACCACGTGACCACAGCTGTGGGAGAAGGGCAACCTCCCAGGACGGGACAGGACAGTCACGAGGCAACCCGTGCTTCTAGAGCTGGACACCAACCCATCCTGCCCCCAGGTTACCACTGCAGAGTCCTCAACTGAGAGCTGCCCTGGGAACAGAGGCTAGCTATGCCGAGAGCTCCAAGGCGGACGGCAGCAAGAGCGGGTGTGAGGGGTGGGGCCAGAGCCACGGTGCCCCCTGAAGCCTGGTGATGTGGTATTCCTCTTAACGGGGACACCTGGGTGCAGCCACTTTGGTGAAGAGTCGGCAGCTCTCGACAGGTTTGCAAACTCCTGCCACACATAGCCCAGCGAGTGTGCTCACACCAAACCCCACACCACACTCACAGCCACAAAGGTGGGAACAGCCCCGCGTTCCCTGCCAGTAACCGCACAGACAATGCAGGTCCCCAGCAAGGGTGACACGCGGGACGCACTGCCCCGTGGAGCACCCACGGACTTGGTACCCAGTGGCAGGAGGCCATGGACGGCACAAGCCCCCTGCTGTGTCCAGAGGATAAGGCTAGAGCCAAGGTGGCCTGGTGGCCGCCAGGGGGGTGGGCAGGGTGAGAGCGACTGCCCCGAGGGGTGAGGTGCACCCCCAGGGTGAATGCTCGGGGTGGCTGCCCTGCCCATGCTGAGCGGGGAGCTAACTCCGTCAGGCTCCCGAGCACAGTGAGCTGTGGCGTGGCTGCACCACCGACCAGGGCTGTCTGTCCTCTCCGGGGGCCCAGCGACGTGGAGCTGGGCAGGTCAGGCCCCAGCTAGAGCACAGGCCCTGGACCTGCCCGGAGGATGACCAAGCTGGCGCAGCGGAGAGCGCCGTTTTAGAAGCTGCTTGTCGGGGCGCAGGGCACAGCTTGGCCCTGTAGGCAGTGCTGTTGTCTCGGGAGGGTGTTCAGATTTCCCCGTGGACCAGGCTCTCGGGCTGCCGTTGTTCCTGGAAATGCAGACCCTGCTTTGGTGATGGCTTTTGTTCTTACTCATCCGTTCTTTTGGTTTTGGTTTTTCGTGCCTAGTTGTGAGAGACAAGATCTCTCCGTGCAGTCCAGGCTCGCCTGGAATTAGTGGCAACCCTCTTGCCACAAGCCCTGAGCGCCAGGACTGAAGCTGCGCACCACCACACTTTGTTTTCAAGTCTGTTCTTTTGTTTTTTTAAAACAGGATCTTGCTGTGCATCCCAGGTGGCCTCGAACTTCCGGTGATGCTCCTGCTTCACCCACTTGAGCGCTGGGATTGCGGTGGGTGGGCGCCACCACGCCCGGCTTTCCAGTCTATTAAGAAAAATAATAAGCAAAGATTTGTGGGCAGCAAACACTCTCAGCTTTTGCTTACTCGGTTTTGCGACTGTTTTTAATTCATTCTTCCTCCTGAAAGGGAACTCTGCTGATGTCATCTCGGGGACTACAGTGACTGCCTCCGTGGGCTGAGGTCCCTCCTGGTCCGCCCGGGCATGCTGTGGCTGCTCTGTCTTCGCTCCCTGGTGGCGCCGGCCCCTCCGGAGCCCGGAGGCCTTCTCCTAGTTTCTGACGGCCTGTGATCACCGTGGTGTGCTCGGGCATGGCCCTGTTCATGTCCCCGTGTGGTGGACGCTTGCCTCCTGTCTTTGAGGAATCGCAGCCCCTGTGGCCCCACCGCTGCTCCTCGCCTCTCTCCTCGGGCTGGGGCGGGCGCCCCATTTCCGGACCTCACCCGCACTCGGGCAGCTGCTCTGCCTCGTCCTCTGGCAGCTGTGCGGCCCAGCAGTGCCTCGACGTTTGTGCCGGGCCCCGCGTCCTCCAGTTAACACTGTCAGGTTCCGGCCTCGAGAAGCCTTGCGCTCCCCGTTATCAGCGCCTGCTGGGCTCCGTGCCCATTCGGCCACGCCAGGCCTCTCCGTCCTTCCCACAGGACCACGCCCTGCTCGGGTGTCCCCAGACCCGTTCAAGGGCACGGCGCAGACTGACTCGGCCTCCTTTCCTGGCAGCCGCCGTCAAGGCTCTGGAGGCGACCACGTCACCCACTTCTGCAGCCCCTCCTCCCTTAGCGCCAGGGTTCTGCTGAGAAGGTCTGGCTGTTCCACAGCTGTGGAGACTGTTGGAAGTGGGGGATGCCACTCAGCTCCTCGGTAGAAATGGAAAGAAACCACGTAGGAGCCATGGCTGCCACACTGCAGGCCTGGACTCTGAAGCCCTTGAGGGGACACGGACGCCGCCACTCCTGAGTCGGCGGGCGGGAGGACGCAGGGTGGGCAGACGGCGGCAGAGGTCCAGTGGTGGGGCTGTGTGGAGGACGGTGAGGCCTCCCGTGCCCACTCCTCAGGCACAGTGCCCTCGGTGCCCATCTCCGGGCGGGCTCTGCACGCGACACCGAGGGGCTTGCACAGAACCAGGTGTGAGGGAGGGAGCATCCCAGGTACTGTTAGGCTCCTTCCTCTCCCACTCAGTGAGCCTGCAGGGTGGCTCTCCATCCGCAGGGGGCCTGTGTGGCCTGGGTGGCTCCGCCCGAGGGACATTTCGTGCTTGGTCTCGTGAAGCGGAGGAGGTCACTGCCAGCTCTGTGAGGAGACAGACACGGCGGATGAGGGTCTCCAGGGCGGGTGCTGGTCTGCGTGCTCAGTGTGCTTGCCTCATGGTGTCCTGGAGGAGCTGGGCTGGGGCTGTGGATGGAGACTCCGCACTGCCCTCCAGGGATGCACTGGTCACTCAGTGCACCCTTGGGTAGCCCCCTCATGTGCAGGTGGACAGTGGGGTCACCCACAGGCTTTTGGACATGCACACTTGTGATGGAGACCACTATGAAGCAGACCTGAGCAGGACTCAAATTAATTGGCTTTTCATGTTCACTTGTGAGTCTGTCCCAGGCCTAGGCTCCTTGTCTGGAGATGGGCAGTGGACTCATAGTAAGTGAACCTCTGTGAGTCACAGATCCCTACTAAGGGCTGTGATGGTGGATGAAGATAGAAAGCCTCAAAGGATAAGGCAAGATCACAGCCAAGGACACCTGGATCCCATCTCAACTAGATGAAGACTGTAGCCTCAGGCATCTCACTCCTGGGTGGATTAACTTAATCTTTATTAAGGATTAGTTTAATACTTTACTTGGAGAAGTCCTTGAGTGACTCCACCCTTCTTAACTATTCCCCTCCCTTCTTCTGATAACCAAATAAATACAGGCCACCCAGAGAAGGTCTTGGTCTTAGCCCCAAGAACCTTGAATTCTGTGAGAGGTCTTTAATCCTCCTGGAGCCCTGAAATCATTGCATTTGCCCCTTTTTATTTAGCCTTCACCATACGCTCATTCGGGAGATTGTGGACCTGATCAGCCCGCAATAACTAAGGGATATTATTAACCCTATTCATCTGCCCCTGTGTGATGGAGTGGGAGGCCCCAAACCTGGCTATAGTCGGTGCCCTAGTGTGTGCCTGAGGCTGGGCTGGCAACCCGCGGTGACGGAGCTGACTGCTCCCAGGCTTCTGTCTGCCTGTTTTCATTGGTCGGGGTTTGCAGCAGTAATGGCTGCCCTCCTTGTGGGCGCCGGTGCATGTGGATCACACAGCTTCTCTTTCTCCAGCCCCTCCTCGCCCCTCCGACCCTCCTCCACGTCACGCTCCCTCCCCGCAGGCAGATCTACCCCTGCTTTCTGTTATCTGGTTTGCTCTTTGATTGATCTATACTTTGGGTTTCATCCACAGCCCCGGGCTGAACGACAGGAAACTGCCAGGTCCACGGTTCAGACGGCCCCACCTGGGATACCCAGGGCCCAACCAGGCCGGCCCTACCAGCGCGGGCTCCCTGGTGCCCAGTAGTGCCCACCTGTGCCAGGGGCCACAGGGGCAGGGTGGGAGGGCGGGACACTCACGGCTCCAGAGCGAGTAGGCCAGGCGGCAGTTGAGGCGGCGGTAGAGCTGCTTGTTGATGGGCCACAGGACCAGCGTGCACAGCTGCATGAAGTTGATGGCCAGCCCGCTGACCACGAAGACGAAGCCGATGAGCAGGTGCACGGCGAACTGCGTCTTCAGGTAGGCGAGCAGGCCCATGGCGCACGCTCAGGGCCGGGCACAGGGGCCCTCGCTGAGGACAGCCGTCCTGCAGGGAGGCAGGCGGTCAGCGGGCGTGCGGGTGGAGGACCCTATGCCTGCCCTGGGACTGTGGCCCTCCTGACACACACACACACACACACACACACACACACACACACACACGGCCTGTGTGCATATCGCCACATGCCGTGCTCACTCACTGATGTCACGCCAAACCCCAACATGCCAGTACCACGCCACACACAAAACACACACAGCCCCCACTCACTAACACCACACAGCATGCATGCCCAGTCACCCACTGATGCCATGCCACATCCCAACATGCGGACCCCAATCCTAACCACATACATCACACACACCAACAAGGTGACACTGCACTGCAGCATATCAACACACTAACATGACATCACACACATACACCAACACACTACAACCACATACACCACTGACACGCCAGCATCACACAGCACTGACACACTCACACACCACCACACACCAACGCTACCACCACATGAATGTAAACTGACATGCTAACACCACACTCCCCAACACACTAACCTACACATACACCCAACGTGTTAACACCGCACACAACCCGACACGCTACCACCACACACCACTAACATCACACACACCCTGACAGCACACTGTCAGCACATGCACCATACATATGTCCTCATGCTGCGCACACACAGACATGCTACACGCATGTGCGCACACTCTCTCACACTAACAAGAACAAGAACGAGACAGAAGGATGCGCCCAAGTTGACAGCGCGAGCCTCCTCTGTGGGGTTATTTTATCCGCTCAGCACCATTGCAGAAAGATCAACACCAGGATATAGCTCAGTGGCACAAGCACCTGTCTGGCAAGCGCAAGGTCTTGAGTTCAATTCCCGGTACCAAAAAAAGGAAGAAAGCTGAAAGCCTCTGCAGGAGCAGACCCATCACACGCCACCCCCTCACCCACACTGCCATGCAGCCTAAGTGACAGACAGCCTCTGCTCTGGCTGGGGAAGCCCAGGAGGCCAGCCCTTTGCGGTGCCCCCAGGGGCCAGGGAGGCTGGCAGCTCCCACCTCGGCGGGGCACTGCCCTGTGATGCTGAGCACATGGAGCAGGAACAGCAGGGGCCCTCAACCCCGGCCCGGCCCGTGCCCTGTGCCCAAGGGTGCGCCTGGCACCAAGGAGCCAGGCCCAGGGCACCAGCAGAGCCCTCTGTGGGTACCCGCTGCCTGTGCCGCCCTGGGCACCACTCTGCCCTCTGCCTGGAGATGTGCACAACCCAGCTCCCTGCCCTGGGCACGGGAGGGTGCTCCCTGCCACGCTGGGCTGGGGCCCCACTGCGTGCTGCGTGGTGACCTGCCCAGGACAGACTGGCCAAGGGATGCCTTGGTTATGTCCAGGTAAGTCATTGCTTGTACGGCCTGGGGACGAGTGAGTGACAGGTCCTGCTAATGAGGGACCCACCCAGCAGGCCTTCCAGGCCCTGACCCTCCAGGTGGCCACAGCCCTGCTGACCCTGGAGACTGAATTAGCTATTAACTGATTTATATCATAGAGCTTGGTAACTCCTGAAGCAGCTGCAGAAACTAACAGCTCTAAACAGAGGACAAAAATAGAAAGGGGGGATGAGAGCAGTTCAGGACCTCACCACGTCCCAAGTCTGTCCCACACATGGCCCACGGTGCCCTCCGTGGGTGACGTCCTCTGGCCCAGCCCAGCAGCTGAGTTGCCGGCACACAACCACATGGGGGCAGCAGGGAGCGGGATCCCAGTCTGGGCTGTTAGGCCCCTAGAACACGCTCCTGACCAAGCCACCCAGGAGGCAGGGCCCTGGGGCACCGCAGCGTCACCCGGCTCCTTCTCTACCCTGGGATGTGCTGGGGCTGGGCCACCTCGGAGCCATCACCTGGCACCTGGCCAGGCAGCGGCTGCCCTCTGACCCTGCAACCTGGGGAATCCGGCCCTGGCACGAGGCCCCGAGAAGCCAGCAGAGGGCCAATCTGGCCCCACGCCAACCCTGCCGGCTCCACCCCTGCCGCTGGGAAACAAGAATCTCGTTTGTAAAAAGGATCCTCATCAAGCCATCGCGCACAATCACACTGACGTGGAGGAGGAGGAAGCGCCCTCCGTCCCCACCCAGAGCGCGGCTGCTTTCTGAGGGCTCATCCTCTGCCCCGGGGCTCCAGGACGGGGCCACACACCCAGCTCGCTAACTGCAGCCCCGCGCTGCCAGTCGGCCCCGAGCCCTTCGGGCGGCCTCTCAGTGTCCCCCAGAGGGGGACTGCTCAGGCACCTCTTAGAGCAATTTTTTAAAAGCTCTCCCCCGACAGTTTTAAGTTGACTTCTCTGTTCTTGAAACCCAAGGTTAGATGTGCAGTGGGTATAAATTCTTCTCCATTGCAAAAATGCCTTTGTGAGGCGCCGCTGTCACCTCTTCAGTGCAGCCAGCCCTGGTGGCCTGGCGGTCACCGTCGGCACGGGTCAAAGCCCCTCATCGCCCTTCTGTGCTGGGGCTTGGTCTCCCCAGAAGGTCTCCCCGGCCCAATATGGAAACACCTGAAACTCACTGCCTGTGTCCGGCACACAGGACGCTCTGCACCTGTACCGCCACCCTCTGTCCCAGTCAGGACAGCCTCCCGGCCACACTGCGGCCACACCCTGGAACGCCACACAGCCGCCATGTGCCGCATGTCCCGCTGCGTTCCAGCTCCAGGCGTCCCCGCAGTCACAGTGGAGGGTCACGTGGTATCTGACCACGGGCCTCTCTCCTCCCTCAGCCCAGGACACGCCAACTCTCTGAGTTGAAGGCTCTGAGGTCTTCAGGCGGCCCTGAAGGACGGCCTTCCACCTGACGTGGCGTGGCGTGCTGGCTCCTCCTGTCACTGTAGCTGCAACGTCCCTGACCAATGAAACTGCAGGGCCACCAGGCAAACCTCATGGAGGCTGACGTGCGGTCACCTCTGTTGCCGGCTGAGGGCCTGACAGCGTCACCAGGCAATCCTGGGGTAGTCAGGACCAAGCTGGTCTAAAGGGCTTGCCATCTGCTGCAGTATAAAGTAAAATTCCTCAGTCAGGTGTGTTGGCGCACACCTGTGATCCCAGCACTCTGGGACGCTGAGGAGTCCACCCTGGACAACGCAGGGAGCCCCGCCTCAAAGTGAAAAGTGGAAAGCGGGCTGAGGACGGCGCTCAGCGGCAAGGGCCTGGCTCGATCCCCAGCACTGCCAGCAGAAGGGAGGAGGGGAAGGAGGGAGGCGGGAGGGGCCGTGGCTGGTTCTGGCAAGTGGGAGGCGGTGGAGGGGACACAGCAGGCAGGAGATGGCGCCGCTGCGAGGCTCGGGCAGGGCAGGCTGGCGCCCCAGGGACACTGCGCCACAGGCCCCGTCCCCTCACCAGGCTACCCCACAGCTCTGGGGCAGGGAAGGTATTTTTAAATGAGCTCAACCAGAATTCCACAGGAAGCAAGCACAATCCTATTTTGGAGGCTTGAAGGGCAAAGCTTGGTCCTTGGGTGAATTCTCTGGCAGCCGCGCAAATCCAGCCCAGCCCGGTCCTCGTGTGGAATGCAGGAGGGAAAATGACCGCTGCTTGCAGATGGCGGTGTGTGTCCCTGGCCCCAGAGGGTCACTCTATTGACAGGCGAGAGGCGACAGCTTGCTGGACCCAGTAAAATGGGACAATGACCGGGGGAACTTCCGCTCTTACACGTAGCAGCTCCGGGTCACTGGCACCTGGCCACCCGCTGGGCAGGTGGAAAGGGCTGGGGTTCCTCTGCAGCAACTGGGGTGCTGGCTCACAGCCCAACGCACGCGCAAGTCACCGGGCAGAGGAGGGCGTGCTCGCCCCAGGGAGAGGACCCCACACAGGAACGAAGGCAGGCGCAGGAGTCACCGCAAAGGCAGGACCCAGAGCAGAGCTGCTCAGCGGGGTCCCACACATGTCCTGGGTGGGCCACACCATGCTCTCCAGCCCTGGAAGGGAGGCAGGCCACAGGCCCATGGCACGAGCTCGCATGGAGGAAGTGGTGCCGGTGACTTCTGGCGGCCTCCAGAGGCCCACACACTCCCCACATCCCCCAGCCATCAATCAAGGAAGCTGGGCTTGGCCTGGCACAATGGGACCACAGGGAGACGGACCAGGCTGTCTCAGCTGGGGGTCCAGGCTGCTGGTAGACAGGACTGGTCCCAGGGAGCCCGGAAGAACCCAGACTGCTGACCACAGAGCCCAGTGTCCGCGAAGGGGGGTCTCGTCTCACTAGTCCTGAGGTGGCACAAGATCAGAAGCCATCCATAAATACAGCCAAGGCCTGTTAGATCCCTCCGACGTCAGAACCAACATGCAAACCCCGCAGTTCCCTAACAGGTGGACAGAAGGCGGAGCCAAGCACACCAAGGGCAGGAAGGGCAGGGCCTCGTCCCGTCCCGGCTCTGGTGCCTCCAGGCCTGCACACCCCGCACGGCTCCGCCTGGGCCCACGCTCCAAGCCAGACACCATCCGAGCCCCACACCCGAGACAGGTAGCCCCACACCGTCCTGAGGTCCGGCCTGGGCTGCGCACCACACACGCACCTTCCACGGGCCACGGAACTTGCCATTTCTGCTGCCGAGGGAAATAAAATAGAGGATGAACTGGGAACCACTCACTCTGCCTGGGAATCTCTTTGCATCACTTAGATTCTCTTACAGTCTCTCTCTCCATCCACGGACAAACAGGCACAATTAACGACAGCCCAAGGCCCGCCTGACCCCTGACCTGCCTCATACCACCCTGGCTGGGGACAGCAGCGCATGCCCCGGCTTCTGCCATTGGAGCCCCAGCCTGAGCTGTACCCCACAGGCTGCCTCGTGCCCCCCTGGAGCAGCTGGCCGGGTGGCCACGCAGGCAGCTCCAGCCAGGGGAGGCTCCAAGGGCAGGGGACAGTCAGAGGCCCCTCTGGGGCGAGGCGGGAGAAGGGGTGGGCAGAGCAGCATGCGTGTGGGCAGCGGGTGGGGCCATCGCTGTCACGCTGTCACTCACAGGTCCAGTGTGCGAGACACAAG